TTGTATTATCATCACTACCTGCATCACAAGGACATTATTATTAGTTAGTACTTAGTATTATGAAATTGTATCACTCATAAATTTCACCGCCAATGAAAACGAACTTGAGATTAGAAGCAAGAATAAGAAGAAAACACAAGAAACGGAGACATTATTAATTATCTTACTTGGAGCATTGATTTCGTTATGTTTTGTCTGACTTGAAAGTGTTCTGCATTTTATGCAGATCAAAAAGCACGTTTTAAGAGATAGAAACAAGACAGTGTAGAAAATCTAGAGAAAAAACAGCATTTATGCTTGCTTAGATAGAAACAAGAAGAAAAAGATACGAAAAAAAATGTGAATGCAGCTTTTAGGGTTTTTAAATTTGTCAACATAGTCTAACGAACACTTTAATTATTCAAATGAGTTATGTAATAATACAAGTTTTAATTAAAAGTATCTCATTCCCAATGTTCCTTTGTTTCATACTTTCATGTGGTCGTAAATTAAGATTAAGTAATTCCATTAGTTAAACACTACCATTCAAACTTTTATCAACCATATACTCCTTCTGTTTCAAAATATAAGTTGTTTTATTAAAAAACACGCATATTTAAAAAACTATTTTTCTACTAAAAAGTATCAATTAATGGCCTGCCTGATGACTTCAATTCTGAGGAATTATGTGGAATTGAAATATTATTTTTAATATGTCACCAGTTGCAAATGAAAGGAATTGGAAGAATTCTGTGGAATTTTACAATACACATATGTACGTTATACGCATACGTTAAGTCAAACGACTTAAATGCTTAAGGGTTTTTTTTGTTTTTTCAAAAATGCTTAATGGTTTTTTTATTCAGTTTAATAATTTTAATATGTATGATAGAAAAAAAAATTAGCAAATATTTCTGAAAAATGAAAAATGAAATGATGGTTTGTAATACAATTTTCAGATATTATGTTAAAACTATTTACATATTCTTTATGTTAGAAAAAAAAATTGATGAAATAATATGGGACAATTGTAAAATGTTATTTTTGGTATTTATATTTGCAAAAATATCATTTAACGGTGTCCATTTGAAAAAAATACCACT